CACACACACACACACACACACACATACACACACATATATATAGAGAGAGAGAGAGAGAGAGACAGAGAGAGAGAGCCCGAATAAAGAACTAAAAAAATTAGATTCCCCCAAATAAAAGACCCAATCAAAATTTGGGCAAATGAAATGAAGAATTACTTCTCAGAAGCAGTATAAATGACCAATAAATACTTGAAAAAAATGTTCAACATCTCTTGACCATATAGAAATGCAAACATGACCCTGAGATTCCATGTTATTCAAGAAAGAATAACTATCATCAAACACTGAAATAATAAAAAATGATGACAAGGCTGTAGTGTAGAAGAGACAATTCTACATTGTTGGTGGGAATATAAACTAGTACAATCACTATGGAAACCAGAATGGAAATTCTTCAAAAGACTAAAAGTAAAAATTCCACTCAACCGAGCTATTTCTCTTCTATATATCTTCTATAAAGAATTAAAGACACCACATTATAGTACTACATGTATACCCATGTTAATAGCAGGAAAACTCATAATAACTAAATCTTGGAATTGGTCTGTATGTCCATGAACACGTGAATATATAAAGAAAATGTGGCATTTATACACAATAGAGTACTACTATACCATATAGAAGGATAAATTTGTCAATAGTAGGAAAATGAATGCACCTTGAGACAATAATGTTAATTGAAATAAATGAGACAAACAGGATTAAATATTGTATAAACCATACATAAGAGAAATTTATAAAAGAAAACTTATAAGAGAAACTCACAGTGTAAATAACTCACAAAACACAATAAAAAATAATAGGAAACAGATGAGTTTTTACAAAAGAGACGGGGACTGAGAGGAAAGGGCTTTTTGGCCACCATCTGTCCCACCATTCCCAGCCCAGAGGAAAGGGCTTTTGGGCCGCCTTCTGTCCTGCCGCTCCCGGCCCAGAGGTAGGAGCTTCTGAGCCGCCATCCCCCTGCTCCTGGTCAAGAGGAAGGGGCTTCCTGGCCACCATCCTTCCCGCTGCTCCCAGCCCAGAGGAAGGGGCTTCCAGGTCACCATGCCTACCGCTGCTCCCAGCCTCTCTCCAAGCTCAGAGGAGGTGAGCTGCGTGGGCGCCAACAGCACCCCCCTTTCCCCCCAGTTGAAATGAGAAAACATGTAAATAAGTCTCAAAACCAGATTTCCAGATCACCTACAGCAACCACAAAGGGAAATGAGATGGAACACTCTGATACTCAAGCACCTGGACACAATGAACTAGCAACAAATGGGGAT